CAGCTTGCTTGAGTATAACTGTCCTGGGAAGAGATAGCTGGGACATAAATGGTGCTTCTAGCCATGTCATTCCTAGGTCTTTGCCTGGCCTGACACATGAGCCAGGCAATGTGCACATTTATTCCCCTTCCAAACACCCGTTTCCTGCTTCCAGGGGGAAGCAGAAGGCGTATTTTGATTTTGTGCACGTTCCTTTGAAATAGCTGTATTCTGTTCACAAAATATGCCCCAGAGATTGAGAGCCCTTGAATTGTGCCAGGATGTTTCTCTGTTCCTTTTGTTATCTTCATATATCTTCAGCAGAGATCAGTTCATCAGCCCAGGTGTAAAACAGAAGAGACATTTTGAGCCTTATCAATGCTCACTGAATTCCCTGGAACGACTTTCCTCTGCTTCAGAGAGCTTTAGATCATTAGCAGCTTGTCTCACTTCTTATGTCTGTAAAAAACTCTAGATCACATAGTAGAGCTAAGTTGAGTTTGTCAGTTAAATGGTTTCACAGTCCAGTGAAAATATGTTTTCAAAAAAACATACTAAAAGGTTGTTGTTGAACTTGGCATGCAGAGATTGACCCTGAGGAACCTCTTGCTTCCCATCACTTAATGGTAAGGAACAAAAATAGCACAGAGCAACCAACCTTTTGTGGGAAAGGTAAGGACAGAATTAGCTAGGAATCCACAAATGTTTTTAAAATCAAAAATATTTCAGGATACTGCCTTTAGTATCTTTCCTTGACAAATCTTGTTGTGCAGATGACATAACATTTTTGTGAATTTTCACAGTTGCTGGAAAATATATTTTTGTAGTTGCTCAAGATTCAGTACAAGAAAGGAATTTAGACAAGTTGTATCTAGGATTTTTTGTCTTAGAATATAATACACCTTTGAATGGATTTTGTAGGGGAGTTATTTTTTTGGTTTGTTTCTTTTCATAGGAATGAGAGACCTGTTCTTTAGGAATAAAATCACAAGTCTAGGTAGCTGTGAATTGTGATATGTGATATCCATTATTCAACTCTTAAGGATTTTTAATAGACTTATGAGGCAATTGTAATGAAAGATGGTATTTTTCTAAGAAAGTTTCTTTTTTTTTTTTTTATTTCAGTGCCTTTTGTTTTTTAGTAAGAAGCATTTAAATTTCTATCCATTTTGTTAGCTTGGATAAAATATATTTTTACAATATGTAGGGTTTATTTTAGAAGAAAGAACTTTTTTCATCAATGTTCAGAAATGTGTATTGCAAAAAGAAAATATATTTTGCACACAGATTCCATTTTTTTCTCTGAATTTGTTTTATTTGATATATTTTAATTCCTTTCCTGCATCAGGCAAGGACTTCAGTCAAATGGTTGTATTTATCAGCTTGCATGTATAAGACTTCACAGTGCTATACAAAACCTCTCCATGGTGTCTGTCATTCGCAGGGCCTCATGTGGTCTGTGGGATTCTTGCCCTGAATTTACATCTATTTGATCCCATTAAAACCACAGGATGTTTAATTAAATTTGTTTCTATCATCTCAGCCTGTTTCAAAATATCCATGCTGGTATTTCTCTTTTACTGCTCCAGTATGTGGTTATAAACAATGCAACAATTGCTTGAAAGTCTCACCTTCAACTTTTCAATTTAAGTCCTTGATTAATGAGGTGGAAGAGCTGCATAATGTTGATAATTTCCTTTCAAGTGGCAATAAATGATTAAAGCAGGTTGATGGGGAATGGAGAGGTGAGGGTATGAGACGCAGGTGTGAAATCTACATGGTGTGGAGAGATAGGAAGGACACAGTTGGAGCAAAGAGACTACCAGAATATAGCAAAGATTATCCAGCTAAAACATTGAAATCTCTTCTGGGTGGAATTACTTCACCTAAATACAGACACCTGGAAGTTAGACATCTGTTTTAATTCAGCCTGATCCTCTATGGCTCCCTTTTCAGTCAATGGGAAGATTTAGCCACCTGCAGATGACAGGATTGTTGCCTTGGAGATGCTTCTTTCCTCCCAGGGAGGTAAAGAGAGCTTTGGGCAATGAACTTGTCCCCAGTCTGACTGTCTGAAGGCTCTTGCTTCTAGATCTACCCGTTGTATTTGGCTGATTCCTCTGAGCAGTTTTTCCCCAATACCGATGTGCAGACTGTTGATATCTGCTGATATCTCCTCTCCTTGGCTGAGACATTATCTTTCTTGCTGTGGAACACAGCTCTGACATGAGCTCTGTCAACATATGATAACATTACTGCTTTGACACATTAGTAAGCAGGCAATGCCTAAACACTAGATCTTTTTCCTTCTGTAACAATGCACCCATTAGACAGCTTTGTCACTGCTTGTCTTCTCCTCTTCTGTCATGTCATGTCATGTCATGTTTTGGAGTTGCCAAAAAGTTTCCTTAGGTAATAAAATCAGGTTGTGTCCAGCTATCCATAAGTCTTCTGAATAGAAAAGGGAAGTGTGCAAGGGCACGAGATAATACTACCCTGATCTCTGGACGTCTTTTTCTTTTTTTTAAAAAATACATAGATTTGCCTAGCTTTTTCCGAATCTGCCAATGAATGTAACAGAACAAAATTGGCATATTGGATCAGACTGTGTGAACATAAGAGCTGACTAACTTCTCCCCACCGACGTTTCCTTCTTGCGAAAAGATAGAGTTATGATCTACAACAAGATTTCAAGACCTCTGTCTACGTGACCATAAATTAATCCTAAACAGCACAACTTGGAATCCCTGAGGTTTGTTGCTCAGAATCGCTCCAGCAGAGTATTTTTTGCTGATCCCTTCCTTTGGGAGATGAAGGACTATAAACTGTTTTCAGGTGTGCAGAGTATGCATTTCACTGGACACAAAGTGATACATAAATATTCAATCCCAGTGTCCCAGTGGGAAATTTTGCAAGTTGTTTGACATGAACTTGGTTTACAGTTCCGGAGACTACTGTGTGGAGACTCTTTAATGCTATAAACATTAAAACCTCTCTGAAGAAGATACTCCACATTATTGTATAATATGGTATGATAAAACAACACAGAACATTGAGATGCATATTTCATATTATTATCTACAGCGTCTTTTTGATTACCAATAGACGTTTTAATTTTTCACAGTTAAATATTTTCTTAAAGGAATTTCTTACTTTTGTGCTCATTAAAGGGACAAAATTCACCACAAAAGAGACCAGTCTCCCACATATAGATGTTGAGATACAGTTAATTCAACATCGCTTCTCTCTACCTGCTTATCGCATGTTACTTTAGAATATTTTGAATAGATTCCATGCCTATAGAGGCCTATAGAGTCCTGCATCACCTGTCTGGCCGTAATTCACCTTGAAGCTTAGCATTTTATCTCAATAGTTGTCTCTGGTAGACTGCATGGAAAACTTTTGCCTTCTCTGAGACATGATCCCTAAGAAGTAATTCCTGGTCTATTCTTGTTTGTGCCAGCAAAATATCCCTGCTTGCTCTTCCACCACCTTTTAGGCATCATTAGGTCATAAAAGCAGCTGTTTTGTGGGCTGCAATATACCGCTCACATTTCAGACACTGCTCTGAATCACCCCTGCTTCAACTGCAGAACGGCACACAAAAATCACCATTGTGCTGCAGGAGCCTGAGGAGACCTGGCTCCAGGCTCAGAGGAGACTCGGAGCCAAAGGCTGTGTAATATGGATACAGCCCCTAAGCCTCAGTGTTAGAGAACAGTTCCTTGCTCTTTTTTATTTAATAATTCACATGTAGTCTCAGGATCTTGAAACTGGGAAGACTGCTATGGCACAGAAAACAGGCAGTTGCATTGATAGAAGATTCCCACATGAATCTTGACAGAAATCAGTATGCTCATTCATAGAATTAAATAAACTCTTTTGCAATTCATCACAGTTAAGCGTTCCTTATCAAATGTGCTTTAAAAACAGAGCAGAAATAGTTTGGAATGATTAATAAGATGAATGCTTAAGCAAGAGGCTGTAGGTTCATTAAAGTCTTCTGCCAAGATATTCTGTGATTCAAAACCAGCCAAAAACATGAACTGACACAAACACAACAGGGCTGTTCTCTCTAAGACTGTTGCTCAGCATCATATGCTTTGATAGCACTGCCTAAAACATAATAGCATTATGTACAGATTGAAAAAGAAATGCTGACTAATGCTGCTGCATTTGGTCTGTTTTGTGAAACGCCAAATTGTTTTTTGAAGCACCTCCTAGGCTTCAGAAAATGAAATGTAATTGTAAAATTCACACTAACAGAGAAATACTGACTTATTATAAAGTAGTGGAAGACAGTATATGACTATTGTAAATCTGATAATTTTGAATTCAAAGCACAACTAATCCTAACTACCAGCAAAGTTGAAGTCATTTGGCAGCTGAAATTTCTGAATACGCTTTGACATCGTAAAGTGGTGGTGGTATTGGTTCTTCTAATTTTTTTCTTGTTTCAAGACAACTTTTACATTCATTCTGCTTGTTCTTTTCAAGCAAATGATAATGTAAAACTGGAAATCCTACATTCCATCTTTGCTATGGAAAAAGGGAGACTTTAGTTCATCATTGACAACAACAATAGAAATTGTCTTCCTTATTGTGTGGGTTGCAATTGAAATAAATTAATGTGTTGGATTGACTCCTGCAGTCATAAATTTTCCAGCTGAATTATGTTTCAGTAGATAACAAGGACAGAGTTGGCAGTGGTGACTGGTTTTAAGACCCTTTTTTATACTTAGTAGCGTATGACAGGAAAAGGAATTGAAGAAAGCCAAAGAAATTGCCCTTCTACACGCAGATGATTTTTTTGTTTGTTTGTTTTACCTGCCAAATTAATTCTGGAAACATTGATGAGAAGATAAAATTTCATCTAACTAGGTGTGTAATTTAGAGCCCTTATCCACCTTCCCTTTATAATTAATATAAGGAGAATCAATCCATTGTGAGATAAGTGTCTAGAATAGTCACAGGCTTTTTTATTTAATATTCATGCTTAATGAATTATGTTCTATTTACAGGTTTTATCTGGGGTGAAATTAAACAGATGTGGGATGGTGGACTACAGGATTACATTCATGACTGGTGGAACCTCATGGATTTTGTAATGAACTCCTTGTACTTAGCAACAATCTCTTTGAAAATAGTTGCATTTTCAAAGGTAAACTTTTTTTAAAAATTTCAGCAAAATATTTAAGATAAATGAAATTAGGCTTCTTCAAACTTTCTTCTGTATTTGAAGGTTCTCAGGCTTAGCAATACAAGAGATGTATGGTGTGATCATTGAATCTTCTGCAGCTATGGCAAGATGCTAGAGCAGGATACGGGTGAACAAAACATTATGATTTATACTTTTTTCTTCTTGGCCTAGGCAATCTTTTGTTATTGGATCCTGAACAGTCATACTGACATTTTCTTAGAAAAGGAAAGTCACTGGTAATATTTAATAATGTTTGCACAAAGTTATGTTTTGTGTTAGTCTTTGCCTATTTTTCAGTAAGAAATTATTGCCCTAGGACAATTTTATGCACCATGCAAAACTTCTGGACAGGCCTAGAAGAAAAATGCTTAATCAAAATGGGGGGGGGGGGGGGGGAGCTAGAAGAAAAATGTTTACTCAAAATTATCAGGGGTAGGGGGTGGAGCTAGAGACCAAGATGTTAGTTTTGTTTTGAAAATGCAGTGCAACATGAAAATTTAAAGCTGAAGGCGATGAAATGGTCACTTGAGGCTGGGTATGTTCATTTTCTCATGCTTTTCATGGACTTTTTATGAATAGTTTTATTTTCCTACTGTTTGAACCATCTTCCAGCAAAACAGCCCTTCTTTCCAAAGCCATGAAACATGTTGCATTTTGTATGCATTCAACATGAATCCATAATATGACAGAAATTCTTCATTAAATGAAGTATTTTAATCAAAAAATGGTCTCAAGCACAAGGAAACCACATCTGAAATGAAATGAAATGAAAGCATTTCTTAGCATCTGTCATGGAGCTCTTATGATATCTAAGTAAAGATAACAAGCCCATTTTTGCTGGTCACTGTGATCAGCATTGTATTTCAGCTGTTTCAAGTTCCCTGCCACCAGCTATCCTGTATGCATGGAAGCAGAGTCTCTCCTCTGCCAAAATGCTTTTGGCTGGGAAAAGAAGAGGAGACAGCCATCAAGTACTTGGTTATAGCTCCCTATCCTCAAACAGCAGCTGTTCAACTGCCATAAGTGTAGCGGAACATAGGAACCTCTAATTTATAATATCTTGTGTCTATTCACAAGGGTCCACATGACAGCTGATCAGGGGCAGGGATGAGTAAAGACCTATGGTCTGTTGACACACCAGCCTCCTCCTATGACAAAAGGTTTCTGGTGTGCTGACTCTCTGGCTGCAAACCTTTGGAAATCTTCTCACTCAAAGAAATTTGGAGGTGTTGCCTGGAAGAGCAAGATACTCGAACGTGTGAGCAGAGCTGTCATTTAAAGCTGATGAAATGCCATTTTACACACAAGGATGCCTTATCATAAAGTGACTGGAAAATAAATAGTCATTTCATTGTCCCATATAACAAAGCGAGCAGTTCATTGAAAATGCATGTTTCCAAAGCATTGGAAGTGGCCAATTATTCACTTTAGAATAATATTAATTAGAAGACATTATAATCCTTTCATCTCCCAGACAGCTTCTGCTTACGGTAATCAGATTCCAAGGTGACAGTATCTGGGATGATATGCATCCATTACTCTCCAAATTAGTGCTTGCATGCCAATCATAATCAACACAGTGCATAAAGCACTATCTTTGGCTCTGCGGCTATTATTTTTTTACTGAATGTGCAATGTTGCACCCAAATACCCTTTTCTTCCTTAAAAGAGCCTCAGTTATGGTAGACAATTGAAACACATGATGATGTAATGAACAGAGTAACTTAATACCCAGCCACACTTCCTTCAAATACCTACAACAGAATTCCTCATCTCTATGTCACATGGGATTGAGAGGATGCCAAATGTAACCAGTATGTTTTGATGCAAAGCTTTCATTTTCATTTCCTAAACCTTGCAAGGCAAGTTTTTCTAAAATACAGCTTTTCGGTATTTATCGAATCAAATCTATAAGCCCTGCTCTTAGATGCATTCTGCCTTCTATGAATCAGCTCAAGCCACCTAAGAAAGCACTTTAACCAGCTCTCTTGAATAAAATTAGGAAAGTGCCCACATACTACTCTTCTGTGTGATAGATGTTCCCAGAGAAAAACGTAGTGTTTATTGCCCATTCGAGGCTCTCCGACTGACACAGTAGTTAAGCAGATGGATATTAACACAGAGTTAAGCAGCTGATGGGATGGTGTAAAATACACCAGAGAGTGTAGTTTCAGGATGAGAGAACTTCTAAGATAACTCAGAGTTATCTGTTTCTCTGTCAGTATTCAAATAAAATGAGTACTTTGCATATTTTTCAAAGGGCTATGCTTTTTGCCTCTGATTATATATCAACATATGAAGTCTTTTTAAATTACCCAGTATATCCAGTGAAAACGCTCTCTCTCTAATAAATACTGTGATTATAAATAGTGCATTGTCACATGTTTTATGAGAGTACAAGATGACTGATTTTAAGCAACACATCTGTTTTGATGGAGGATTATAAATATAAATAGAAATTGTCGTGCTGTAAGAAAAATATTCTTTTTATGTTTTTGGAAGATAATTTCTTTTGTGCTGATGCATAAAGTTAGGAGCAGTGCCAACTTATGTGCAGACCTCACTTTATCTTAAGTATTTGTTAAACCTGAGCATTGGACTTAGTACTGCTTGCTTCCAATTCTGCTAGAGACTGCATGCAAGTTCATGTTACTGATTATGTGTCTCAGCCGCTGACGTGAAAAGCTAGAAGGGAATCAAGTTCCTATTCAAGGCAAGAACTCTGAAAAGTAACTGAAAATACATTATTTGTCTCACTATTTACTGGCTTAATGATCACTGTGTCAGATCTGCTCTGTTCAGTAGTAAATAAGATTGTATTTCTCTTCTACCACCAGTTCTGCAGACTCTGACATCGTCTTGTATGTTTGCATTGTAAAATGGTTTTGATTGATGTTTCAGCAGATTCACAGACCAAATGTCCATTTACATAGGACTATTAACCCTCCTCCCCCTACATTTACACAGACCAAATACAGATTCACAATACCAAATACAGACAAATATTTACATAGGACTATTAACCCTCCTCCCCCTCAAAAAATTACAGACTTGATTCTTCAGTGTAATTACTGTTTTAAAGCTCTTTGCTAGACCATTCCCCCACCCTCTTCCTACTGCTGCTCTGAAATTCGGCATAATGAATATGAAGATTAGGACATATATTTGGAAACAAGAAGAGTTCATATTCACATATGACCTTTGAGGAAAGAATTTAAAGGTTTTTTCCTGAAATGGACATTATTTAACCTTTTTTTTTTTTTGGTTATCAGAAACAAGGGGTCACATTTGACCAAGGTCCAACAGCCCATTAAGCATTCAGGTAGACTGATCTACATGTCTATTTGATCTCCCTTGGTGCTTTCACGAGATCTAGAGTTCATGACTTTAGTTTTCGTGGGAAAACAGTGATCACTCAGCTTTTTTTCTCACAAATGGTTCTGATACTAGATTTGCAATTGAATTTCTTTGAGTAAGGATCAAAAATTATTATCTTGTATTCCCTGGGTGGCATTGCACAATCATCATATATTTGCCTTGAAACTCTACTGTTTATATCCTGCTCGATTTGTTATCTAGGCTTCTCTAATTTTCCATTGATATATCACGTACATTTCCTTCAACAAGTATCAACAAGCTCTGTATTGCTATATATGCTCTTACCATTTTCCATTCCCTGGAACAATAACCATTTACTTATTCTATATAGAACAGAAGAACATCAAGAAGCATGAGTGAGAGAACAAATATTTCAGTTCTGCATGTTTTGGGTTGTTTTGCCCTAAAATACAGTTTTTCTTTTTTCACATTTTCACTGTTTCTGGTTGGATGCAACTGTGCACACCTGATTGTTTTAATTTGATTCTTCCTGTCTTACTATATGATATGCTATCCTTATTCAGTGTCCTGTAGTTCCACGTTTTTCTCAGAAGGCTATTTCAGTAGATTTCCACACCCCCCCCAACCCCCCCACCCTGGACTTGGTTAACTTCCTTGGAATCTGCAACTACTTGCCTTCACCTACTAAAATATGTCTGCAGCTGGATGCTTTAGACTCTCTACCAAAAACTCCTTCTCTTCCTAGTTTCAAATATTTTCTTTAAATGTTTTGAGTAAGATATTTTACCTTATTCCCCCAACAGACTTCGTGTACTTTTCCCTAATCTGAACATCTACTGTACTGTTCAGCACCTAATCTTTCATTGTACTGACACTTGTTCCTAGTTATTTAATAGGTGCAAGTTTTCACGTATCAGGGTTGTAAAGTGTCATCAGAATTCACAGTAGTATACTGTACAATATTATTGAAAGAAAGACATTATAGAAAATGTTTTGAGGAGTCCTGACCTCTCTTTTCTCAATAAACATTGAAAATTTGCTCTTCTTCATTTTCTTCTTGCTTTAATCTCTTAGCTGATGTCTCTGGTAACTCAGTTCTGTTTTCTACTACCTGTTACTTCATCATCAATCTTGAATTAATCAGAATTGTACTGAATGGCAATAGTGGATGAGGCAGACTAGCATCTCTCTTGGAGCTACAATGTCAAATACAGTAAGACTTGATTTTACAGCATGATCATTACGAGAGAGGATAGTCTAATGAGGAGAGTACTGACCTATGACTCCAGCAGGTTTGGATTTAATTCCTTTACTCTGTAGAAGACAAAGATCACTGATGGGTGAAATGTAAGGCTGACATTCTTAACTCTTCAATGGACTACTATTCTCCAGCTTTGCAATTCTCATCCTCAAATCCCCAGGACTGTCAGATGGCTACGGCTGCTTGTATATGAGTAAATAATACTGTGCCAGGGATTGCTGTCCAAAAAAAAATGCCCATTTCCCATCTGCAATTTTAATAATAGAATCATAGAATGGTTTGGGCTTGAAGGGACCTTTAAAGGTCATCTAGTCCAACCCCCCTACAGTAAGCAGGAACATCAGAGGATTGGTTGCTTAGAGCCCTGTCCAACCTGACCTTGAATGTTTCCAGGAATGGGGCATCTACCAACCTATCTGGGAAACCTTTTCCAGTGTTTCACCACGCTCATTGCAAAAAATTTCTTCCTTATATCTAGTCTGAATCTACCCTCTTTTAGTTTAAAATCTTTACCCCTTATCTATGGCTACAGGCCCTGTAAAAAGTCTGTCCTTATCTTTCTTATAAGCCCCCTTTAAGTATTGAAAGGCTGCAATAAGATCTTCGAAGACTTCTCCAGTCTCAACTCTCTCAGCCTGTCCTCATAAGAGAGGTGTTCCAGCCCTCTGATCATTTTTGTGGCTCTCCTCTGGACCTGCTCCAACAGGTCCATGTCTTTCCTGTGCTGAGGACTCCAGATCTGGATGCAGTATTCTAGGTGGGGTCTCACCAGAGTGGATTAGAGGGGGAGAATCACCTCCCTTGACCTGCTGGCCACACTTCTTTTGATGCAGCCCAGGATACGGTTGGATTTCTGGGATGAGAGTGCTCATTGCTGGCTCATGTGCAGCTTTTCATCCACCAGTTCCCTCAAGTCCTTCTCCTCATGGCTTCACTCAATTCCTTCATCCCCCAACCTGTATTGATTCCAGGGATGCCCTGAGCCAGGTGCAGGACCTTGCACTTGGACTTGTTGAACTTCATGGGGTTCACAGGGGCCCACTTATCAAGTTTGTTCAGGTCCATCTGAATGGCATCTCGTCCCTCAGGTGTGTCAACTGCATCACTCAGCTTGATGTCATCTGCAAATTTGCTGAGGGTGCACTTGATCCCACCGTCTACGTCATTGATGAAGATATTAAACAGTACTGGTCGCAATATGGACCCACAGGGGACATCATCTGTCTCTGATCTTCATCTGGACATTAAGCTGTTGACCGCTACCCTCTGGATGTGACCACCTAGCCAATTCCTATCCACTGAATAGTCCACCCATCAAATCCATATCTCTGTCCACTGATGTAGTCACTCCATCATAGAAGGCCACTAGGTTGGTCAGGAAAGACCTGCCCTTGGTGAAGCCATGCTGACTGTCTTGAATCACCTCCTGTTCTCCATGTGCCTTAGCATAGCTTCTAGGAGGATTCGTTCCATGATCTTCCCAGGCACAAAGCTGAGCTTGACAGGTTGGTAGTTCCCAGGGCCCTCCTTTCTACCTTTTTTGAAAAATGGATACAATGTTTCCCTTTTTCCAGTCACCAAGGACTTCACCTGACTGCCATGACTTTTCAGATATCATGGAGAGTGGCTTGGCAACTACATCAGCCAATTACCTTAAGACTCTGGGATGCATCTCCTCAGGTCCCATAGACTTATGTGTATTCAAATTCCTCAGGTGATCTCAAACCACCTTGAGAGCAGTCAGCTTCTTTGAGGGTGAGAGCGGTGTGGGCATGTTGTGATACCTGGCTGTGTTGTTTAATCTGGCCCCAATGACATGGAAGAGTCCCTTTACGTACTGCTGAAGGCATGCTCAGCCACTCTGGAGGATGCATCTGGGTGGCCTAGAGTAGGTAAATACTGACCACACCATTGTCCCTGTTTGAAATCTGCTTCATATTATATTATCTCATGGTTATAGAGTGCTTTGTAGCATAGATTCTGTCCTCTGATATGTTCTGTAAAACAGATTAATGAGACCCAATAAATAATAATGAGTCTGCCACAGTAGTTAAGCCTCAGTTCAAAGTAACATCTTTCGTCTTCAAGAAATTTTTTAGTAGAGATGGAACAGTAAAATGTCATAGTTCCTGGGATCAGACTCTTTGATAATGAGACACACAAGCAGTTTGCCATGGTTCATTAATAAACAGCTTTTTCATCATTGCTCTAGTGTTAGTGATTAAGCGATATACTTATTCCTTGATTAAATGTTTTCTTCTTACTTGCCAAAGTTCTTGTGAGTTTCTATTCATTGTTATTGTATTTGCACAGTTCTTCAAAGAATTAATTTACCTGATTTTACAGCTGAAGGTTTCTGTAATTCTAAAACCCAGGTGTTCAAAAACCATTTCTTTTACTCTCAGTCATAATTGTTAGACTTGCTTTTGCTACTGTGAAAATTATAACCAAATGCAAAACACAGGCAAAAAACTAGACAGCATAGACTATCCTGCAGATAAAAATGAAGGACAAGCACATGGCTACCGCTGATTTTTTGTTTTGTTAAAGGAAAAAACTCTCCTGGAGAGATGTTGCTTTCCAAAAGATGTTTAGTTTTATTGTGCAAATTAATTGAACATCTTATAAAGAAACTGACATACTTGTTTATGCATAAAAATAGAGGAATAATTTCTTCCATTCTGCTTGTTTTCAGTATAGTGGGTTAGTTCCACGGGAGAGCTGGGACATGTGGCATCCAACCCTGGTGGCTGAGGCCCTGTTTGCAATCGCAAACATCTTTAGCTCCCTACGCTTGATCTCATTATTCACTGCAAATTCTCACCTGGGACCTCTGCAGATATCTCTAGGAAGAATGTTGCTGGACATTTTGAAGTTTCTCTTCATATACTGCCTTGTGCTGCTAGCTTTTGCAAATGGATTGAACCAGCTGTACTTCTACTATGAGACAAATGAACCCGGCAACTGCAAAGGAATAAGATGTGAAAAGCAGAATAATGCATTTTCAACGTAAGTGGCTGATCTATTTCTATCCTCCCCCTCTGCTCCCAATATTTTCATCACTTAGATGTTGTTTACAGGAAAGAGGTTGTTTGTTTTCTGTTGGTTTTACAGTGCTATCCTGACAGACACATCTCAAGTTACCCTAGTAAAACAGAAAAATATTAACATTACGTCACTCTGTAATAATGTTTATCCCATACCACAGTGAAGTCTGTACAATTCAAGATATCTCAAAAGACAAAAAGATGAAATAAAGAGGAAGGGGAGATAATATGATGTTAGAAAGTACATATTTAGAATTCAGGGAAAAAAAAGGTCACCAGATCAGTGCTTGCTTATCCAGGCAGCTGTTTTTCTATATTTCTTCCGTGTCTACTTGTGGGCATTAAATAAGTTTGGTGTTTTAAAATGTGAAGATTTCTTCTAAGTGTTATAAACTGAGACAGGAAAATACATTTGGTCCAGGCTTCTACTGACCCTGAGTCTACTCCACACAATCAAGTACTATATTCTAATCTCTGTTTTAAAGTTTATTTATTTTTCTTTTACTTAAAAATCAATTTTAATTTGTTCTGTTCTATAATTCATCTATAGTACCAAAATACTACCGAACAAAAAATAATTCTCTCTCTTCCTTCAACTTCCAATCTGAATCAAACTCCTGCTATAAGTACCTGTTCCTATTACATTCTATGAATCATATCTAGGGTGTTTTAAAAATATATTTATTACCGATGGCTTCCTTCTCAAAGTAAATAATTTTATAAAAAATAACACCTTTCATATCATCTTAATCAAATAACTTTGCTCAGGCATAGCATATTTATCTTGCATATTAATAACATCGTATGCAGCTCTAAACTTTGTGTGATCTCAACTGAAAAGCACAGGGAAGTTTTTTGGAGCTGAATATTAACAGAAGCAATGTTATTCATCTAGGAAATGATGGAGACTACTAGTACTAGTGCAGAAGATGGTGTCAAGGCAAACTGCAATGCCTTATGAGTCTTTTCTGCTACCGTGAACGGGGGAGAATAGTGGTGGTTCAGTTTGTGCTCAGACAAGTGTAAACCATACAAGAGATTCCAAAGCAGTACTTTACCTCTCATATACACTGTTTTACAGGAGCAGAGAATCCGGACCTAGAGTTTCTATAAATAAAAGCATACTGTTCTCTCAGGTATCTCTGTAGGGCAGCACTGTACTGGGTTGCATGACAAAGTTACTTTTCAAGGATGATACCGCATGGTGAGAAAGAGGCTGAAGGGTTAAGTTTTGCCCAGCTCTGGACAGTGGGTCCCAGCTGCAAGACCAACCAAGGTGGTACAAGTCGCTGCAGTTCAACAGCCTCCCTGCTCTGGGTGCAACAGAGACAGTGCTGGTCGCCCACACAACCTGGTAACCTGTCCAGGTGTCAGGGTGAAGGAGCAGGAGAGAGGCCGTGGGAAAAACTGACTCCCATTAATCTCAAGATACGGGACCAGACAAGCAGAAAATCATGCCTCGAACTTTTCAGGAGCCACTAGGCTGATCAGGGCCCGTGCTTATGGCACATGAACATTGTACAAAAGTGAAATTATGTCAAGCTATCTAGTGGCAGAGGATTTTTTTAAAGTTGGTTATTGCTTTTTAGCTTCCTAACTGTTGTCCCAAACATCTCTAAGGGAATATCATATCATTTACTTATAAAAGCACAAGTTTCATTTGAGAGCGGCATTTTTGTCTTTCTAATGTCTCCTCTCTTTGCAAAACAAAACATATGCTAATGATAATAATGTCCTTCTAATTATACAATTCCTTTTATCTCAATGGCTCTCAACACAAACTACAAGTTGCATAAACTGACAACACCAAATAGGTAAGAGGATACCATAATTGTTTTGACATCTTGGTGAAACACAATCATTGAGTTACTTTTGGATCTTTGTTCTGCCCTCTACAGTCAAGACAAAAGGTCAAAATACTCCCAAGGCAGGTGTCCAAAATAAAAACGTTATTTATCCCTCAGAAGTTTGAACAAAATCAGCCGTTTACTTGCAGGCTTATTTATGGATTCAGTATGGTATATCTAGAGCCTCAGATTTGAAACATCAAGCCTTTGTTTCCCTAGAAAAATATTCCGTGTATGTTGCCTATATTGTAATAAGTATCATTCGTCTCAATCAAGTGAAGGACTTCTGTGTGTTTAGGGAAAAAATGAACAATCATCTGAAAAGTACATGTATTGTTATTCTACAACTATTCCTTTTGGATTTTGTTTTTCAGATTATTTGAAACGCTGCAGTCATTATTCTGGTCTATATTTGGACTCATCAATCTCTATGTGACCAATGTGAAAGCAAGGCATGAATTTACTGAATTTGTTGGGGCCACCATGTTTGGTACCTACAATGTTATCTCTCTGGTTGTTCTACTCAACATGCTAATAGCCATGATGAATAATTCTTACCAGCTTATTGCTGTAAGTTGTTCCTTATCCTTACATCATTTATAATATATACCTGATCTCTGTTCCTACATCCCATTTTCCTGGCAGTAAATCTTTATTACAGACAGAATATTGGGACAAATTCTCTGATTTGTTCTAATTCTCTTGCACTGTTGTGGAAGGACACAGAAACCAGACACCAGCTGGTTTGGGCAGAGGGGAGTTTTCTCACAATTCTGAATGGGGAAGAGGCAGCCCTGCTGCAGAAGACAGCTTGTGGGTTGAGAAGGATGTCCTGAAGCTGCTGGGAAGTGACATGGGCTACAGCCCTGCCCAAGCTGCACTGCACAGGACCTTTCGTGCCAAAGATTGTTCTGTCTCTACTTTATTTTTAATACATTGTATTTATTAACCTTTAGAAGGCTGGGTTTTTTTTATATGGTGTGATATACAGTTAATAGAAATTGGACACTCATGTTTCATGAACAGTTTTGGACCTATTAGCGATTCAAACAAAAGGTCATGATTTCTCATTCAGCAGTGTCCTGTTTTCTCCTTTGATGAAAACTCTCTTTATCCCTATCAGAGCTATTAGCTTGTTTTTATTTCTCAACTCTCTGTTAAGGAGACTAATGAAAAAAAACTCTGATTCATCATACAATAATTCAAATATGATCATGCAGAAAGCAAACAAATAATAGAAGGCTTCACAGTTTTAAGATTTTAAAACGTGCATTTTTCCTAATCTGGAAATTACAAGTTTTTCCACAAAAGAAATACTGACTACATGTGTTTATATAATAGTAGTTGGCAACATCAGGTACACAATATCACAACTTGCTAGCGTTCATCAAAACTCAGACTGGAGTAGAATACTTTTCCTACAACAGCTTCTAAAGTACTATGTTGATTACTGTGCATCTTGTTAAATATTAAAGGCTTGGGCTAGACCTGTAGTTAAAGTTATCGGCTACTATGCTTGTTGTACAAACGTAATATTAGCGATTTAAACTTCTTGTTCAGCTGCTAGGATTTAGCAATCTTCCTATGAACTTTACTGGTGTATTTTTTTCCCAAACCTCTCAAAATTATACAATATTATTTAGAATCCAAAAGAAATAACATTTAAAATTAAAATAAGAAACCCCACCCCACAACCTATTCCAAATATATAATTCTGAAGTAGGAGGGAAAAAAATGATACTTGGCTCAACAGTGTTAAGTAGCGTCATGATTTGTTGGATAACCTATTTGTGAGTTTCTGGGGCTGGCAATTACTAAGAGAGTGCATGAGACTTACAGACTTGTTGAAGCTGCTACACATCAGAGTAATTAGAGTGATCTATGTAGAATAATGATGAGCTGCTATTATAACAAAACATCTCTTCCAGAAATGTAGCATTTTTCTGCTTGCAATTATCCTTTATTGTTTGAGAGACTTTTAATTATTTAAAAGCCTGTAGCAAGGAAAGAAAGGTTGAAAGTGGATGTGTACTGTACATATTCAACATCTCTTTACTGAAGTAAAGCTGCTTAGTTTTGCTTTGTGTTAAAGACATTCTGTCAAAAGAAGATGCCAGTATTTTAAAAGGAAAGTTCATTAGTGTTTCAGAGTTGTTCTAATTTTAGGTTTTCAGATTTTCGTAGAGGTTTATTTCACCTCCTTAATTACAGCAACATCTGTGCTGGTGTTGTGTTTTTTCTGTGCAGGATCATGCAGATATTGAGTGGAAGTTTGCTCGAACAAAACTCTGGATGAGTTACTTTGAAGAAGGAGGAACTCTGCCCACTCCTTTCAATGTCATACCAAGCCCAAAGTCTCTCTGGTATCTGATCAAATGGTTATGGAGACACCTTTGCAAGAAAAAAATTAGAAGAAAGCCTGAAAGTTTTGGAACAATAGGAGTAAGTCCTGTGTTTTACTCTGCCTGTAGTCCTCCTCTTTGCTGTATTGATGAGTCTTTCTCAGCCTTACAGAGCATCCAAACTGTCAAATAATGTATATAGGAGTCAGAGAATAATTCTAGCAGATGTTTATTTTTTACATTCATGCCAATGTATTTAACTGAAGAGAAAGCATCATCCTATTCCTGTGCAATGACAATATGAACCATGACTGTGCTCATCTACAGATAATCAAGAGATTAAAAGCAATACAAATATTAGAGATCAAATGTGTGTACTTGTTTACCAATCCCAGGGATCTGGTCAATGATCTCTAGCTCAAGTGTCACAGTTCAAGTATCATTGACATATCATGAAACACAAAATCATGTATAAAGTATTCACCATGGGATATTCTCTCTCTGTCTCTCTCTCTACATCTAATGAAATTGACCTTTGAAGGTCCCTTCCAGCCCTAACCATTCTATGATTCTGTGATTCTATGATTCTATGAAATGGGTTTACATTAAAGCATTCTTACCTAAAGCTGTTCCCACTAAAGAAAACATTTTGAAAGGTAAGAGCATTTACTTGGAATTGCTTACTTTATTTTCAGGTAGAGTTATTTCAGAATCATGCTGGTACCCTATTCTAATAGTGATGATCAGCAGTGAAATTTCTAGGAAAAAAAGAGGGGGAAAGACACACAAGGGGAACAAGAATAATCCAGCACCTGAATTCAGGAAATGCCTGTGTAATATTTCACCCACAGACTTTCTCTGGTAGCTTCAGCAGGTAAAGCAGATTTGAATTTGTCCCTCCTAGCTTTATCCAGTTGAGATACCTATCAGAAGCACATTTTTTCTGTATTGTCAGAGGAAATAGGCAACAACATAACCCACAAACAACTAAATCTCTCTAGTTATGTTTTCTGCATTTCCTGTAGCGAGCGAGTCAGTACCTCAGTAGCTAGACTGCATTTAGCCAATTCCAACATAAAGAAAACTATTGTGAATAAAATGTGGATAATGGTACTTTCTCTATACCATAAGGATTTGATGAGTATAAATGTTTTCAATTCTGTTAGAAACTCAGATAGCAAAGTGTTCGGTGAGAGTATGAGAGAGTTGTGTGTGGGTAAGGGGAAGAAGAAAGGGTTGCAGTCCTCATGCTGTTGACCCTGGTAGCAAAACATCCATTTGTTTTAAAAAAGTCAGGGGATACAATACAATTCTTTGCTGGACCATTACTCTGTAGACCTTTTCTTTGTATTTCTTCCTAGTTTCTTGAGAAGTGAGCGATAAGGATAGGCTTT